GTGCCATTCCTATGTCTGGACCTGGCAACCGGGCATGGAAACTTGAAACGGTGAGCCAAAATAAGCCTCTCCTGTATTTGTGAGTGTGGGGCACCATGTCTCAGCAACAAGGGAAGTAACTGAGACAGTCCTCCGTTACCTTACTCACCAGACGTGGCGCTGTGCAGCCTTGGACCTTCCCCAGAGTCAAAATGACCATGAAAGGTAAATGTTTTGAATCAGGGCAACTAAAAGTACTCCTGAAAGAGGACTGCCAGAGCTGCTTCAGAAAGCAGCAAGAGGAATGGGATAAGAACTGTATCTGAAGTGAGGGGGAACATTTTGTGGGAGATTAATGACAGTCTGTTTTACTGTAATAACATTCTTAAGTTTAAATGTGAACCACATTTTCTGTCACACCTCATACCTAGCAACAGGGTATTCAGCATCCAGAAAAGAGAATGGACAGAGGCCCTGAGATGGGGACATGAAGTCCGCATACTGTAAGTGCAATGAGCAGAGAGACTATCAGATGAAAGGGAAGGGTTAGAGCCACGGAAGCCAAATTAGCATTAAGAACTCACTGTGCTTTAAACTAAAATAGAGATGATACCTTCAAATGAGGGCAAGGGGGAAGTTTCAAAGAGAAAATAGAAACAATTCTCATAAAGAAGGAAAGAAGGAACACACTCAGGCAATGAGGAGAGTAGAGAAATGTGTACGTCTGAAGTTAAAGTAAGATAGGGGATTTCTCCAGCCTTGAGAGGTGAAGAAAAGGGATTAACTATTTTTAGTAACCTTAATAACCACAAACCCCATACAAGTGTCACAATCCTAAAGCTAATATGTATAATCACTGCCGAGAACATAAATTGGCACAATCCCTTCTACAAAGCAATCTATCGATGTTGCTTACTTACCTAAAAATAATTGGGAAGTGAATAGTGGCAAACCAAGCATTTGGGAGTTAGGCACTCTTACCTTCAAGTTGCGGGGGGTTGGGGCCTTAACTCTGCTGTGCTTACACCTTTCCTGGAGTAAAATGGTAATTGACCAGCAGCGCTACTTCAGAGTAAGATGCTAGCTTATTACAATGACTTCATTTGAAAATCCTGAAGTACTTTCTAGCTTTGATTTAATATTACTTTCAGACTGTTTGGTACAGAAATGACAACATTAACAATTTAAAGCCCTTGCAACAGCATAGGTCTTAACTAATATATTACAATATATTGTCCAACAGATTTTTCAGCAAACTACTCAGACAAAGTGAACTACCTGATTTTTGTGAAGGTCTCAGAGTCTTAGGTACTTTTAGGGCAAACTGAATTCTATCTGTGACCCCTTAGGCCCCTCTAGCATCAGAGAAATGGACTGGAGATGAATGAAGAAAAGACCACGTGCTTAACTGTATAAACAAGACATTCTGTGACTCCGGGGGATCCAGCTACGGAGGAAGGTCAGGGAGATGGTGTAATGAAACAATGGCTCCACCTTCTCACAGGCAGTGCAAAACCCCACCTCAGTCCAGGAGAAAAGAAGAAGCTGGGTGGAGCAGGACCAAGGTGCATGAGCAAGCCAGCCCAGGCTGTCCCAGTGTCTTAAAAGGCTTGGCTGCCTTTTTTACTGTAATAACATTACAGTAGAGATCTATGTAATAACATTACATAGAGCACTTTGGGAGAACTCATGTGCTGCCTTGGGTGGTATGCAGCAGGCCCTGTGCAAAGTCCCTCTGCAGAGGCTCAGTGACCAGCGAAGCTTGTGAGGTGTTGGCCTGACTTTCAAGCTCAATGGGCTATAAGATTCAGAAAGAATGGTGTCCCATTTACAAGGACCTCTGCCACTATGAGAACACGATCACTCTCAAGCATCTGTGAAAACAGTCACGGACTACTTCTGCAACCATCTGAGTGAAGGATCAATGATTTCCCAGAATAAGGCTGAGCTGACGCACAAACCTACGTCATGGATGGCTCGTCCACAGCCAAAGATCCTTGTCTATCCTAGATAAGGTAAAAGCCCTCATTGCTCCTAGTACTGCAATGGCTGGCTCATATAAGGAAAGGAACCTGGAGGAAAGAAGTACTGCCTGACTTATCAGTGTGGGCTACTAGTTGATAGATAGGTAGGAGCCAAGCTCAGGGTCCAGCGGTGGGAAAAATTTCACTTTAAGACCTCAGAAACACAGGTAATCCTTCCTCCACGGTACCTTACGAGGAGAGCTGCAGTGACCCAGGGCTATAGGCTTTCTAGGGTGGGGAACTTAGCTATCATGTCCTCAGCTGTTCCCAAATTCTACAACTGTGCAAAGTACACACAGGCCTCATTTAACAATGGTTCAAATCCCAATTTTTCAGTTTTACAGTGATGTGAAAGCAATACGCATTCAGTAGAAACCATACATAAAGTTTTGAAGTTTGTTCTTTTCCCAGGCTGGCGATATGCAGTATGATGCTCTCTCACAATGCCGGGCATCAGCGAGAAACACAACACTCTATAGGATGCTGTGCTGCTGCGCTGTGATGTTCAGCAATTCAGATGCATTTCTATGCAATTTTGATTTAATGGTATTTTATATTTTCAGTGGTTTTTTCAGGACATAAAGCTACTGGAGGTAGCTACCAAAAAGATACAAAAGGACAGATGTGTAGTTGGAGTTACATACACCGGTTCCACCTGGGTTTGCCACATCAGCAAGTGCAATAGTAAAAAGGAAGATAAGGCTTGGGGCCAAGATTAGATGGCCCACCAGTGTGAACACACATGCCTCAATTTTTATCAGACCACACACACACACACACACACACACACACAGACTTTGAAATATAATAGTACTTACATTTACACAGAATGGATAAAATTAATATATGTATATGTGAATTTTTTAAGAATCAGTACTGTGAACACTTTTTGGCCCAAGATTTCAAATTAATAGCTTCAATTATGTGTTTTTTTAAATATCAAAGCAGAAACTTCTAGATTAGCTGATGTCCAAGAAGTCAGGACATCATGCCGTGACCACACATACATACAATAAGGTGGTTAGTCTGCAGTTTGGAGATTTTCTTTATGACAGTTTGCCTGAAGTCACAAAACTTTGAAGAATTGTTTCAAAATAGCACATTCAAAATAAAGTTCTAGGTAATATATGGAGCCTACACATTAATAAATTCAGCTACATGTATTTGCTGATTTAACAGGTTGCTTGGAACATATAATAAATATAACTTTGACTAGAAAGATTAAGCAGGTGTCCATACGTTATTATCCTATTATTGTTTAATTGTTACATGTAAACTTACAGGTAGCAAAAGATAGAATTTTTAAAACTTTTCTTGCTTTTTCTTACTCTTGCCTGTTTTGTGATGCTTACTGCAATAAAATTTCAAAATTTATTATAGCACTCTCCTACCTATGACATAACTCTATCCCAAAAGAATTAAAGCTACTCATTTTTAACAAAAACATACTAATATACTCTACTTCTGGTAGGAAAATGAAGAAAGCAAAAGCAAAAGTGGAGAGAACTCATATAGCACATTTTGTTTACAAAATGAAAATATCAGAGATTAATTTTCATATTTCTTTATTGTTGCTCTCCCCTGACTACAGACACATGCATGCACATATGCACACACACAAGGGCGTGAACATACAGATACACATGTGCGTACACATGTGTGTGCAAATATTCACATGCATATACTGGCTTCTGACTCATTTTTGGCTGGGAGGTGGGAGGCAGGTAAACGGCTCCTCACTTCACATTCACAAGATTTCTGGATAATCTTTTGTACAACTGATATACTTGACAGAACTTGCAGGACTTTACAATCACATCTGTTAAAAATATAAAATTCTGAAAATTTCCCAAAGAAACTTCATAGGCTCATTATAAAGTCATAGGCTCTTGGTTGACATGTACTACTTTTTTCTCTTAGAATTGCAAAGATCTGATTTGGCAGAAACCCTAAAGTTTTCTCTAATCCTGTGGTTTTGAAAAAATCATTCAACATTTCCTACTTAAGGGGAAGTTCAGTAATTCCCTAATATCACCTAAGGGCACTAAAGGTCACACAGGTATGGATTTCAGTTTGTATTGCTGTGTTTCCACCATTAGCTGTGGATCTTCTTAAAAGACTATAGATTCACAACAGTTCAAAATGTCTTTCTCCATGATATCCATATGTGTTCCATTTAGAACTAAGAGCCACTTCTAGAAAGGACACATAGAGGTAGGGAGATACACACACACACACACACACACACACACACACACACACACACACACTACCATTCAAAAACAAAACTCAGAGCAAAGTAGTGCAAGAGATAAGACTTTTAAGAGTACCACTTAGCAAGGTAAAATTTAAAACAAGTAGCAGCCAGCAGCAATGGAAGTTAGATAACCATGCTCGGAAGGTCTGGTGGTTTCCAGAGCACCCAGGGAAATCCAGGTCCCCTCCTCAGGGCTCAGAAGGCAGCCTGGTCTCTCAGTTTGAGCCATTGCACTATGAGACCTAGAGAGAGCTGCTTTTCATCTGGAAGCTCTCTCTTAGTCATTCCCATAAATATTCGTGGCTCCAGCTCAATGAAGCTCCGTGGAGACTCTACCTTATAATCTGCATAGCAGACATCTTTTCAGCTGTCAAATAGCTTTGAGAAAACTTTATGAAAGCCTCTGCAGTGTCAGGGCAATATTAATTACAGGCCTTTGTGGCTATGATGTGGGAAATCCATCCTAGGGGAATCTGTGTTCTGAGATATGGCAACCCAATTACATACAATCCATCCAAGGAGGCTGCTTCGTAACTGCTTGATGGCTATTTTTAGTCACAGTAATGCCCCAAATCTTACAGCAATGAAATTTTTTTTCTTGTGCAAAGCTCAAAGTGTTTCGTGGATGCTTCCTAATTAATCTGAGGGCATGGCTTCACACACCATCATCATCTCAAGTGAGAAATGCAATGCCAGTACACCATGCAACTGCAAAATTGGCCCTGAAGAGGCAGACAGACCTGAGCCCGTACAGCACCGTCCCATCGGGGTGTAGGCGGATCATGCGGTTTTTCACTGTCACTCCGTGCACAAATGACTTTTTGTCATTTAAGAAATATGTGTCAGGCACCCATAGCTGGTCAGCCACTCGATTGTCAAGCGTGAGGTTGAGAGGGATCCCAGAATAGGCGAGCCTTTTATCTCTCCAATATTGTTGAAAATACATGGTTAGGGTATAATCCTGGGGGGAGGAGGGGAAGAAAAAGAAAAGAGAGAGAATTAGTTTGTGCTCAGCCACAGGTATAATTCCTCCACAACTGACCACATTTAGGTTGAAATCTACACTGTGCAGTGAATATCCAGGAGAAATGGGTGTCATTTTTTCAGCAGAACAGGAAGCAGGAGTTGCTCCTTACCAATGCAAATACAAGACCGAATGGGTGCCGTGCATAAAGGCTTTCTTTTATGTAGTTAACAAGGAGACCAGACAAATTGTTTCTTAGGAGATAACGGCATAGAAATAAAGGCAAGAGAAGAAAAATACAGGTAGTCGTAGAATGAGGCTGCCGGCAGGGAGCCGATGGCTCCCCAGGTGAGCTATCTCCCGCCAGGCAGACAGGAGCTCTAACCACCGGCAACAGATGAGCTCCGGCTGCACACTCTCTTTGCAGCCGAAGCCGCTTTCTCCCCATCCCGCCTTCTGTGAGGCTATAAATACCAGCCTTTTATAAAGAGCCATGGAGATGGAATGGCGCGTGGGAGGGCTTTACATTCTATCTACCACATTCTCTTTCTCTCAGCTCACTGTGGCCATTTCTACATTAACTGGGCCATAACATCACCTGGAGATGATGACGTATTAGTCTGGGGCACACAGGAGCCCGAAGCCGCTGAGGAATGCAGGCGACGGGCCGCAGCGCTGCCCACAGCCTGGCCAGCAAAATTAGCAAACTCCCCTGCAGGTGACTGTCGTCGCTGCACAAAGCAGTTGGTCCAGGGGGGAAACAGCAAATCGGAGGACGTACACAGGGAAGCAAAAAAAAGAGAGAGAAATTGTTTTGTTCTTTTGTTTTCTTCTTTCAGTGCAGGGCAAGTACTGTTTAATTCTAGAGTGACCAAGTCCAAAAACTGGTTATTATTACAGATCATTCTGAACCCCGCTGTGGAAGGTGCTGAAAATGAAAGGCGAAGAGGTCAACTCTGCAGCCAGGTCAGGAAGAGTTGCTGCTGTTCCCCGCAGGGAGCTCTGCGAGTCCTCAAGCTGTCAGATGGATCCGCAAACACCCTCACTTTGCAGATGGTGCGGCGGGTAGCAAATCAGCACAAGAACCCACCCTAGACACAGATCTACTTTCCTGTATGCATGAGGCAGTTCCTGGTGATGAGAACCAGCGAGGCCTATGTATCCCTACTCTCCACTGTGTTGGGACTTAGAGGCTTCGGATGCTTCGATAGCAACCTTATTTCCAGTTGTACACAGCAAGAGGAAGTAAGAAAACACACACGCACGGAACGATATGCTTTAAATCATAAAACCCCAAAATGTGGAGGAGGCAAGAATATCCGGAGAGGCTGGAGAGTCCTTAGAGAAGTCTGCTGTCACCCTGAAGGGGAGGTGGCACTTGAGTAGAGGGGAAAGAACAAGACTTCTCCCAGGAACTTCCCTGGGCAGAGCTCTGGCCCGGTGTCACCTGTATGGATGCCCTCCCCCATACCCCACACTCTCAAGTAAAGCCTCTCGCAGAGCAGGGGCCCTGGACGTAGGCTCGGATGCTGGGAAGGAGGCGAAAAACCCTCAGGAGACTGGCGGGCACAGAGCTGATGGAAACTCCGAGAAGCTGGGGTATGCTGGAAGGCAGGGCTCGTGGAGCGGTTGGCGAGGACCAGAGGAAGAGAGACTCGTTGTTCACTTTCCAGCTGGTGAGACCCATCGCTCGCTCCAGTGCAGCACAGCCGCACTGCCGCCTGTATTCGCCACCTGCCTCTTATTTTCTCTCTTCTGATATTTTGACATCTGGGGCCTCGCTGACCCTAGAGGCTCTGCTCTTCCAGGGCTCCCCAATTCTCACAGTCAATGTCTACTGTGAGCACATCTTTCATATTCATAAGCAAAACAACCTGCCCAGAACCCACACTCCAAACACCTTCTTTATGGGGCCTCACACTCTAGGCTACTGTCCACCTGCCATCTGGCCTCAGGCCTGGGTACCAGATGATAGGAACAGCCCCTCTGCCCCTGAGATTATGACACAAGCTAGTCCTGAGCCTGCCTATCCCGTCTCCGCGGGTCTCCGAGCGGAACCCGCCACACAGGCATTGGCCCTGGCTGCCCGCTCCCCCAGCTCTGACCCTGCTGTGTCTCTGTGTGGCCCCCGCCGAGAGCTGTGTCTTTTCTTCCTGAGAACTTACAAACCAAAGCATCATCTTAATGGTAGCTGCCTCCTGGTCTGCTGGCCACACCACACCTAGAAAATGAACCCTCATCCTTCAGACCTGGAGCTGTGGGGCAGGAAGGTCAGTCTAGGGTAGAGCCCTCTGCTGGGCACCTTTGCACCCGACTGTCAAGATTAAAAGTTCTTGAGACCAGCCAAGCCCCCCAGCAGGAGCACGCCAGGTCCTGGTGGCACACGAGACCAGAATGATTTAGCCATGCAGTTATTAAAAGGTTTCCCATTTAAATGTCTACTCCTCCGAAGTATTTTCTCATTGGAATATAAGAGTTTTGCTCCCTTCTTTCATTCCCAGCCCTGCAGCTCCTTGCCTGAGTCACCCAGTCTAGCGCTCTCCTCACGGTCCCATCCGACTGGCTCTCAGATGTTTGCCTCGGGAGAGGAGAAACCCGCAGCGTGAGCTGGGGACCCAGCTGCCGCTCGCCCTTGGAGAGCTCCAAGTTTTATCGGTGGGGTTCGGGGAGGCGTGCCACTGTCCTTACGATCAGCAGCTCCTTTCAGCTTGGGCTTTTGGGGTCAGCGGAGGTGACTTAGTGGGTCGGGCAGAGGCTCAGGGAACAGAAGGAAGGGACAGACAGCGTCTGAACCCAAACTCACTGCCTTGCTTGGCCCGGCAAGGAAGCCCGGCTGCACCAGTGGGGGTGCTGTCCACAGCCCCTTTCTTGCCCCGCAGACACTGGAGGACAGGTGAGGGGAAGGAGGTGGGAGAACGGCCTGAGCCTCCCTGCATTAGCTGTGCACTGGTGGGCTGGGAGTGGAGGGCTTTCTGTCTCGGAATCGTGCCACTTCCTCGTGTGATGCTCGTGGCGAGGGCTGCTCTTCGTCACCCGGGTAGCCGCTGATGTGTCCAATCCTTCCCTGTATGTCACACCTCATCTGCCTACATCTTATGCAGATGCAAAGTAGGTGCTGCCAGCATTGTTTTTACCATTTTGTATCAACAAAGAAAGAAGAATGCAGAGAACTGATTTAATTTGTCTCTCTTCTGCCCCCATCCCATTAAACTGAGGAAAGGGGGTTGGGGAACTGGGGTTGCCTCCCTCCAGGGCCTAAGGCCAGGAGCTCGAGGGATCAGCAGAATAAACTGAAGAGAAGTTGATTGAGGCGACAGTCACACCCGTCGTGGAGCGTGGGGAGCCTGGTCCCCTTCCACCCCGCCGCCCAAACATTGACACCCGTCCTTTAAGAATTGTTTTCTGCAGAAGATCCCAGAAAAGCTGAGCACAGTCACAGTTGGAGTGATGTGGCCTGGGCCAAAGTGAAGAGCTCGGCTCCAGGAGTGGCAATGGTGTGGGGCGGAGTCTGTCGTTCTGCATCTCAAGCCTGCTCCAGCAGCAGATACCTTTAACCTTCACCTCCAGAGATCGAAAAAAATCTTTTCTGTGAAGGGTGGAGGGGAAGATACTGAACCCCTCATGGAACACAGCTGAGAGGAAGAATTCAGCTTCTGTTCCACAACTCTGAAGCTCAAAGTGCACTCAGAGGTAGCTGGGTTGGAAGGTAGGGAGAAGAGTAGGGAAGCCACCCTGAGAAGGGACAGTCCCCTGCTGCCAGGTTCCTGCTGGTGGTTAGCAAGAGCTTGGAAGGTGGCACTGGACATCAGACAAGACACACCTGATGCTCTTCATGGCATCAGCCCACCTGCTCCAGCAATTTTGTCAGTCAGGCCCTCTCCTTTGCCAGACCCTCAGCGTGCACAAGAACATATCTGTTTATTCAGATAGCCACTCAACCACTCAACAAATATGTACTGAGTGCCTGCCCTGTGTCAAGCAGTGACCAGGAGGCAAGATGAACTAAACACAATTTGGGTGCTCGGGGGCTGGTATTCTGGCCGAGGAAATGGCTGCAGGGAGCTGCAATTTAAAGGCAATCTGAATTAAGTGCTGTACTAAACATGAAGGGAGTCACAAAAAGAAGCTATTTCTGGGTAGGATGATCAAAAGCAACTTCCCGGAATGACGGGAACTGACCGCTGAAGGAGAGGTCATGGGTCTGAACACCTGTGCAGGAGCCCAGAAAGCCAGTGACATCACAACAGTCTTCACAGGACCAGGTGCCCGAGGCCCAGGCCCAGGATGCCTCAGCTCCACAGGGTGGGCAGGAGACCTCCCTCCTCCGTGCAGTGGTGACCCCAAACACAGTGCAGCTGAGGAAGCCCCTAGAGGGGAGGAAGAGGACACCGCAGAGTCCGTAAGATGGTAACCCTCAAATGGTGTGGCTTGATTTTGGAAAACTACTGTTTGAGGAAAGGTTGAAATTCAACCCTCAAATCCAGGTTCCTTGGATTTAGGGTTCAGTAGCCCTGTCAGAGGCCCTGACAGTTCTGCAAATCCAAACCAGTAGAGACTGGAGAGCTCCCCTTGGTGATGGCTCATTAATGACTCCACACCTGGCCTCACAGAGGCCCCCACTTTGATATTTTATGTTTACTCCACAAAGAGGGACAAGCCTTTGGATTCCCTGAGGTGTCAAACTACCTAACACGCCAAGACCCTCAGCCAAGGGAGCAGGAGTGTTGACTGTAGCTTCCTTTTCCACCTTTGCTCCTTTCAGTGGAGGCAGAAACACCTGGCACGTGGTGCGTCATGGAGGAAGAAGGGAGGTGTGCATCAGCTAGGGGAGTGTGGGAGGGGTGGGGCTGGAGCAGGTCCAAGGTGGGGAAAGGAAGTGGCCAGTGGAGCAAGTGCCCAGAACAGGAGAATGGGGAGGAGGGGTGCCCGGGGAGAAGCAGGGCTGGGGGAGAAGGATGACCCAAGGCAGGGCGGGTCTCAGCGGAGTCATGTGG